GAAAGAATTGGAGGCTTCCAACCATAACTTTCAAAAATGAATGGAATAGCAAGACAGAAGAGCTTAGGAAAAACACAGACTATCATCCAACTAGATGTAAGTTACCTGTGGAACACTCCACCCAAGAGCACACACAACGTCAAATGCGCACGCAACACTCTCCAAGACAGGCCGTATGCTGCACAGTGAAACAAACCTCAATAAATCTAAAAGAACTGCAATTCCACAAAGTATGTAGTGTCATCATATGGAATCAATAATGGAAAGAAACTTGGAAATTAACACACTCCTTATAACCAACAGACCAAAGAAGAAATCACGAGAGAAATTAGAAAATACACTGAGATGAATGACATGAATGCCAAAACTCACAGGGTGCCATTGTTTCTCTTATTTGAGAAACCAAAGTGTAACTAAAGGGCAAAACGTAAGACAGATAACGGGAAGTAGGGACACGAAGAGATGGAGGGAGAGGGAGAGAAAGAAAGGAAAAGGAATTTTTTAAAAAGAGAATTGAAGAAAACAAGGGCAATAGAGTTTTTTAAATGGGAAGGGGAATAAGAGCTGGAAGGAGCAAGAAAGGATGAGATGAGTAGGGGACAAAAAAAAAATAATTAATGTACATGTGTGAACCCCCCATGAAAAATGTAATCACTACGTACTGCCTACATGTACCAATAAAAAAGGTTTAAAAATGTGACTCAGAGAAACCAGTGCTCAAGAGGGAAATTTATGGCTGCACATTAAAAGAGGAAAGAGTCTGGGTGTGGTGGTGCACAGCTATAATCCCAGAACTCAGGAGGCTGAGGCAGGAGGATCTGTGCAAGCTCAAGACAAGCCTGGGCTACAAAGTGAGCTCAAGGTCAGCCTGAACTGCATAATGAAACCCTGTCTCAAAAGACAAAAAAAACAAAACAGGCAACGTATCCAACATGAATATAAATTCAAAATTTCTCAAAAAAATCCCAGCAAACTAAATTCAGCAGCATACTTAAATGGTAACATGAATAACTGTGATTTATTCCAGGAATAAAATGTTGGATCAATACATGAAAACTAATCAATGTACTGCATCACATTAAGAAAACATTTAAAAAGAAAAATAATAGACCATTTAAAATTGGGCACAGAATGTGAATGGGCTTTGCTCTCAAAGACAAAATAAGTGAAAGAGGTACAAAATAAAACTTAGGTCAACCACTAAAACACAGTACTGGAAAACAAAACATTGTTAGGAAACTGCAAATAAAAACCACTTCACACCTAATAGGTTTTGAATTTTAAAAACCTGGAAAATAAGTGAAGAGGTTGAGGAGAAACTACCCTTACACAATAGTGGCTGGAATGTAATATGGTACAAATATTGTGAAAATAACCAGGCAGTTTATCAAAAAGTTAAATAAAAAAATCACCCAATAACACAGCAGTTCTATTCCTTAGGTATATACCCAAGAGAACTGAAAATACTGTTAACCGAATAACTTATGCATATTCATAAGCAGACTTATATCAGTCAAAATGTGGAAACTAAAATACCCACCAAATGATTAAAAAATCTGGTGTATCCACCCAATGGAATACGATAAAAAGAAAGGGTATACTCACACATGCAACAACACAGATGTACTTAAAGATTATGCTAACTGAAGGACAGATACGTAAGTCATACACGGTATGGCTTTGGCTACATTTGAAACGTCCAAAACAGACAAATCAATACAGATAAAAACAGATTTGTGGTTCCCTCATACTAGGAGTAGTAATTACTACTAAGTATAAAGTTTCATGTGGGAGTGGGCAATAGTAATTGTTGCACAGCCTAATAAATACAATAAAAACTTCTGAATTATACACTTTACAATAGTGAATAGTGTGTGAATTACATTTCAATTTAAAAAAAAAAAAAACAGGACTCCAGACTTAGCTCAGTGATAAAGCACCTGTCTAGCATGCGAGCAGCTCTGGTTCAACTCCCAGGAATGGAAAAAAATGTCAGTCCCCAAAGATATGTACTACAAGAAATGTTAAAGCAAGTTCTTCAGGTAGAAAGCAACGATGTGACAAAAATCTTGATCAACACCAAGGAATAAAGAGCCCTAGAAATAGTAAAGATGTGAGTAGATATAAAAACTTTTTTTGGCAGTACTGGTGACTAAACCCAGGGCCTTCACACAGAACTACATCCCTCATATTTTTATTTTTTTACTTTGAGATGGGGTCTCTAAGTTGCTGAACTGCCCAGGTTGGGCTCAAATTTACAATCTTCCTGCCTCAGTCTTCCAGAGTGCTAAAATTACAAGGTGTGCACTGCAATACCCAGCTCACTTTCTTATTCTTTAAGTGTCTTTTAAAAAGAACAGCTTTTTAAAGCAAAAGTAATAATAATGGGGTTTGTGTCATATATAGAAGTAAAATATAATCATACAAAGGTAGAGAAGTAAAACTTTCCTGTTAAAAATAGTTTTGCCAGGCGTGGTGGCACGTGTCTGTAATCCCAACATTCAGGAGGCTGAAGAAGGATCATCACAAATTCAAGAACAGCCTGGGCTATATGATCAGTTCAAGACCACCCTGAACTGCACAGGGAAACCCTACCTCAAAAAGAAAGAGAAGAAAAGAAAAAGAAAGGTATCTTACTATACATAAAATGATATAGTATTAGATTGTAACAAGTCAAAGATATAAAAAATAAGCCCTAAACAAATGAATGAAAGAGAACTATACCTAATAAGCCAGCAAAGGAGATAAAATAAAAGCATAAAAGCCATCTAGTTAGCCCAAAAGGAAGCAGAAAGAGAAGAGAAAGAAGAAGAAACAGGACACATAGAAAGTAACTAACACGATTTTTTAATCCAACCATATACATAAATATAATAAATGTAAGTGATCCCAATATTCTAATTAAAAGACAGAGATATTCAGAATGGATACAGAAGCAAGTCTCGAATATATGATGCCTAGAAGACATTCACTTAGACTACAGACACAATTAGAAGATAATCAAAAGGAAGTTTATATGGCTAATACAAAAAAGAAAACAAATTAAAATGACTTCAGAAAAAAAGCACAAACTATGCAGAATGACCACTGAAGCACAATAAACTAGAAGATTTTATATAATCGGTATTACTTCTTCCTTAAGTGGTATAATTTACTAGTGAAGCTATATGGGCCTAAAATTTTCTGAGGTTTTAATTACAAATTTAATTTTAGTAAATACACAGCTAATCAAACTATTTCTTCTTGAATGAGATTTTCTAATCTGTATCTTTCAAGAAATAGTCATTATGAGAGTGGGGCATGGTGATGCATGCCTGTAATCTCAGCACTCGGGAAGCTGAGGCAGGAGGATCTCAGTGAGTTCAAGGCCAGCCTGGACTGGTAAGACCTGGTCTCCAAAAAAAAAAAAAAAGTCATTATCAAGTATATTAACATAAACTTAGTTACTTGTTGACCTTTTAACGTACATAGTATCTACAGTTATGTCCTCTTACATTTCTCATTTTGATAATTTATAACTTTTATTCTTTTATTTATTTATTTATTGTCTTTTTGAGACAGGGTCTCACTATGCAGTTTAGGCTGGCCTCGAGCTCACTCTGCAGCCCAGGCAGACCTTGAACTCGCAGCAATCCTCCTGCCTCAGCCTCCTGAATGCTGGGATTATAGGTATACACCACCATATTCGGCTATTCTTTTATTCTTGATCAGTCAGCTAGGATTTTACCTATTTTGTTGATCATATCAGGGACTTGCTTTTGAATTCATTAATTTCTCTGTTTTTTCATTTCCCTGATTTCTGCTTCTGTTTCCTACCTTCTGTTTATTTCAAGTTTGTACTCTTTTTTTTTTTTTTTTTTTTTTTTTTGGTTTTTCTCCGGTACCGGGAACCGAACTCACGACCTTGCGCTTGCCAGGCATGCGCTTTTGCCGCTGAGCTAAATCCCCAGCCCCTCAAGTTTGTTCTTTATTTAGTGGTTCCTTAAGGAAGAAGGTTAAGTCATCAAGCCGATACCTCTTCCACTTTGTGCATAAACACTTACGCACAGGGTGCTCACGGATTTCTGTTCTAAACACTGCTCTTAGCAATGCTGTAGCTTCACAGACTTTGGGGTGATTTTCCAAGTGTCTTCTTGATACCATTTCCACCTTGCCTTCACTGTGCTGAGTCTGTAAGGTTTCAAACTTTAAAATTTATGAAGACTTGTTATATGGCCAACAATACGGTCTTTTTGATAAATTTTTCTTGTGCATATGAATATTATCCTCTTGCTGGACAGGGTGTTCCACAAATATGAATATTAATTAGGTTTAAACTGACTGGAAGCATTATTCAAATCTTCTAAAGCCTGATTTTCTGTATACTTGTTCTATTAACATAGAACGTGTTACTGAAATATAAATCTGTGAATCTGTTTTTCCTTGTAATTCTGTCAGTTTCTGCTTCATGGTTTTTGTTTTTGTTTTTTGTCTTTTTGAGACAGGGTCTCACTATGCAGTTCAGGCTGGTCTTGAGCTCACTCTGTAGCCCAGGCTGGTCTCGAACTCACCATGATCCTCCTGCCTCAGCTTCCTGAGTGCTGGGATTACAGGCATGCGCCACAACACCAGGTTGTTTCATGTATTTTGAATCTCTACAATTAGTCACATAAATATTTAAAATTGCTATGTCCACTGGGCGTAGTGACACACACCTGTAATTCTAGAACTTGGGAGGCTGAGGCAGGAGGAACACCATTAGTTCAAGGCCAGGCTAAACTCCAAAGTGAGTTCAAGGCCAGCCTGAACTACACAGCGGGACCCTGTCTCAAAAACACAAAAAAACTGCTATGTCTTCTTATTAATTGACCCCTGTAGTAAAAAATGGCCTTCTTCAACAGTGTAAACACTTATAATGGGACTTACTCTGAAAGACAATTAGCAAGTAACAGTGAAGAAAATGTCTAGTTGACCAGATTTCTCTTTCCCATCTTATGAATCACATTCTATACAATTCTTACCGTATCATCAAGCCCATCTATGTGCAGAACCACTGTTTTGGCACGTTTGTTTGTAGTTCCGAGAAAAAACTGAGCTTTCCTTCGACGGGAACTCATTTCACTGCAACCATCACCATCTGCCATATTGGAAGACTGAAGGATGTCGTAGACCTCAGAGGCCAGCAGCTTTGTTTCACCTGGCGTTGTAGTCCTTGGAAAACACAGATTAATAACTCAGCCATTTCTACTGCAATGATGCAGAAAAGACGCCTACTCCATAGCAGTCTTCTAATTTGTTTTAAACCCATCATTCACAGAGATTCAAAATCTGTATTGTGTTACAAAGGTACATTTAACCAATATTTCTTAGGTGTTCATCACAAAAAGAGAATCACCTAATGATCTTCATGTATAACTTTTTTTAAACACACTACTTCAAAACAGTTCATATGCTCATTTGAGATCTAATGCAAATTTACAGGCCACTTAACAGGAAAAATGGAAGAAAAAAATTTTAAAATCAATTTCAATGAGATTATATCCTACTCGAACTGTCTTACATCAATTTAAACAAAAATGGTTTATATTGCTTGTAAAGTTGATTTCAAATGAGAGGGCAAAGCCAGGCAAGGTGGTGCACGCCTGTAATCCCAACACTCGGGAAGCTGAGGCAGGAGAATCGTTCCAAGTTCGAGACCAGCCTGGGCTACAAAGTAAGCCCAAGGCCAGCCTGAACTGCATAGCAAGACACTGTCTCAAAAAGACAAAAAGAAAAAAAGAAAAAAAAAAAAAAGACAGAGAGAGACAGAGACAGAAGGCAGTTGAGCAAGGTGGCACACACCTGTAATCCCAGCACTTGGGAGGCTGAGGAAGGAGGATTTTCATGAGTTCAAGGCCAGCCCAGGTTCCATAGTGAGTTTGAGGCCACCTGAACTACATAGCAAGACTCTGTCTCAAAAAATCCAAAAATGAGAGGGAATAGTAAAACTGTAATGTTGAGAGGGAGCAGTAAAACTGCAATGTAGAAATACTATCTAATGTTTGAAAAAACCCTATAAGATGGAAATTGTTATAAATATATTAATACCATTTTCTAAATTTTAATAATGGTAAGACAATTATATATATCTGACTTGGTAATTCTGTTAATAAAATTTATTAAGAAAATAATCCATAAAGTAAGTTTCAGAGCAGCACTATCAGAACTTCTTCTCTTTTGTGTGTGTATATGCGTTCTGTGGTTGTGATTTTGAAACGCAAAGTCTTTGGAGACATAAGTCTTTCTATGCAGTATGCAGCCCAGGCTACCTTGAACTCACAGCTCCTCCGCCTCAGCCTCCCAAATGCTGGAATTACAGGCATGCACCACTACATCTACCTCTACCAGAACTTTCTGAGATGGTGGGAATATAGTCTTTAGCCACATGACCACTGAGTATCTGTGATACAGCTAGTGTGACTGAGGGACTGATTTTCGTTTATTTTTACGCTGCTAGGGAATGAAACCAAAGCCTCACAAGCGTAAGCTAGGAAAGCACTCTACCAACAAGCAACACCCACAGTCCTTAGGAACTGATTTTTAAATTTAATGTTAACTAACTGAAATTGCCATATGAGGCTAATGACTACCACATGGACAGACCAGTTTTAGAAAAAAGAAAGGTGTTTCTGCTATTAGCTTCCGTGAACTAGACTTCCCTTTCCTGGTCAACTACTGTTCTTATGCCTCTAACTACTTCTCTAGTATCCTTTCTGAAAGAAGATTCTGCAAAAGAATTAGCTCCACTGAAAAAAAAAAAGGATGTAAGTATTTTTTCAATTCTCACAAGAGTAGCAGTATTCTAGAATAATTTCAGCTACATCAGAGAGAAGATAATTCAGTCCATCTAAGAGATTCCTTGGGGCGTTAGGGCTTAATTCTTGCATGAACCTGTTCTACAGGCTTAGCAGCAAGAGAGTGAGGGAGGAGACAGTCATTTATCAATATAGATAATTCACAAAGGTGTACATGCACAGCTATGATATCCTGTAGAGCTTCAGAGGTTGCTCGTACTACTTTAATTAGAAAGTCAGGAGAGCAAACTAGGAGAACACAAGGCTCAAGTGCAGCCTGGGTAATTTAACAAGACCCCACACACAAAATGGATGGGGGTGTAGCTCCCTGGTAGAGAACTTGCATAACATGTATAAGGCCCTGGGTTCAATCCCCAGTATGCCAAAAAGAAAGAGAATTAACAAAAGAATTAACAAAATTTTAAACTCATGTGGTGTGTTACTTAGGTTAGCAAAAACAATTATATGAAATGTCAAACTCGCCTACTAGAACCATTTTAAAATTCCTGTTTCATAGTTCCATACTTTCACCATGTTCATAAAGTAATAAATTACTTTCTGGCTTTTTCTTTTTTGTCAAAACCATGTGAACCATGAGACTGTTCTACCTTTGTTAATGTTGTGGTTCAGTGCTGGGCATCAAACTCAGGCCTCATGCATGCTAGAGCATGCTAGAGCAGCCCCAATTTCTCTCTACCTAAAATGGAAAGATTTTAGCCAGGCATGGTGACACACGCCTACAATCCCAACAGTCTGGAGACTGAGGAAGGAGGATAGCCACAAGTTCACGGCCAGCCTGGGCTACATAGCAACACCTGCAACGCCTGTCTCAGGAAAAAAAAAAAGATCTTAAAAAGGAATTCAAATCAATTTGATGGTCTCACTGTTATTTTAAGTAGATTCTTCTGATGAACTTCAGAGGACCCCACTTCGACCTTTCCCAAGTATCTTTCAACACCAACAACCATTTCTCTTAGTCCTCCAGACACCAGCTTTGTTCTCTATAATTCAATTCTTACATAAACAATGTGGAGTTGGTGTCAGAGTTCACAGGTTTAATGCTTCCACAAACTTTCCCTCATTTCAGATGCCAGCTACAGGTATTAGGTCCCTGGATTATCCACATTTCTGTCCAACTCAGCTACAAAAGTAGGAGGAAAGGTACAGAGGGCAGGTATGGGGTACAAGGAGCTTCCCAACCCTCCCTAGCATGCCACTCTCCCTGGGAGCTTGTCATGTTCACCAACCCAGCTTACCAAATCTCATAAAAAAATTTTTTTTGTTTTGGTTTGAGACAGGGTCTCACACACAGCTTATCTTAACGATTTAGTGGAGAGCTCCTAAAATGGTGCTTGCCTGATAAGCTTGAAAGGCAACCTTCAAATCTGAGATCTGTAGCTGCCACATGAACTGCAAAATGTATATAAAAATTATTACACTATATCTCCATTCTTAATAGGACTACAGGACCAAATTATAATGAAATGCAAAATGAATGCCTTATTTCTTTTACTATTAGAAAAACAACCAGTTATTACCATATTGTTCTAAAAATATAAACTTTAATTTTAAAATAAGCCACTTGCAGAAGCCACGCAAATATACCACCTGAGTCTCCAAGGAGGACTTGCCCTGCTACAGTCAGTCACCAGCTACAGCAGCTGTGAGATCCACCACAAATCCAAGGGAGCGTTCCTCCCAGGAAGCCACCAGCCAATGACTGAGCAGCGGGGGTCTGGAAATTTCTGCTCAAAGCAGGACTCCTCTACAGGGCAGTCTTTGTTTACAGCCCCACGTCAGATGTATACTGTAACAGGAAGCTCTCCTTGCCCCTTGTTTTCTCTCTTCCACAGATGTCAGCGCTCCCTGCAGCTGGCTAGTAATTTTCCCTGCCCAATCCTGCTTCATCTCTCTTCATCTTACTCGTCCCATAATAAGCCTCAGTGATTTCTTTTGTTTTTGTTTTTTGAGACAGGGTCTTACTATGTAGTTCAGACTGGCCTTGAACTCACTATGTAGCAAAGGCTGGCCTCGAACTCACAAGAGATTCTCCTGCCTTAGCCTCCTGAGTGCTACAATGACAAGCGTACACCACCACACCCTGTAAACCTCACTCATTTCTTACCCAATCCTAGGATCTACTTCCCTTATGATTTGCAAAGATAATGCCCTGAACTGACACCAAGTCTCTTAAAAAGGCGAAGACAGCCTTCCTATGTTACTGATGTATACTGGTTTGACTAATCAACATCCTTGAGTCAAACAAGCTAAGAAATTGTTTTATAAGTTAAATCTATGGTACTTTTAAGCTTTTTCTAAAATCTTCAAGCCCAAATGTAAAGTATATTTTAATATTCCAGCATTATTTTTTAATCTAATTTCTCGTATTTTTTACTTGTACCACTTACTTCCAACTTCAATGACTATAATGTTAAACAACACACAAACCACTCGCTTGTTTTGACTTTTTGTTGTACTGAGGATTAAATGCAGTGCCTCTATCTCCAACCACTTTTATTGTTTTTTTTTATTTTGAGACAAGATCTCAATAAATTGTCCTGGCTGGTCTCAGCTTCTCAAATGGCCAGGATTATGTGTGTGTACCACCAAGCCCAGCAAAATGCTCATTTGCTAAAAAATCAAATTAATGGCCCTCAGCCATTGCTTCATAAAAATCGCACCAAAAAACGTAATTATCATGATCCTGATGGCTATTCTGAGTAAAGCCAGGATGAATTAACAAAAAAAATTGTACCATACTATAATACCGCAAATGGTCAAACGTGATTACACATTTATGTGTTGCTCGCTACTTAAATACAATAAAACTTCTTACAATGTTAGAATGTTCTTTTTTAAAAAAAAATTATATGAAACAGTGTTAATAAGCACATTTTAAATAAAATCTCAAGCTGAGTGTGGTGGGGCATGCCTGTAAATCCAAAGGACTTTGGGAGGCCGGTTAAGGAAAATCACAAGTGTGAGGCTGTAGCTCGGTGTGAGGTCTGCGTGTTCAACATCCAGTACCACCAATAAACATAAATAAACAATAAAATCTGCATCTTTTTATCAGGAGGATTGTTAATATCAGTGTCATCAGTAACCTTAAGATTAACCATCGAAACATTTTCAGACATATATCCTCTACGTCTAAGTATGCTCAGCTGGGCGTGGCGGCACATTTCTGTAATCCCAGCACTGGGAGGCTAAGGCAGGAGGACTGCCACAAGCTCCAGGCCAGCCTGGGCTAGTAGTGAGTTCAAGGACAGCCTGAATAATAGAGGGAGACCCTGTCTCAAAAGCAAGCAAACAACAAAAAAATGCCTACAATTAGAATTAAAATTTTTAAATGAAATAAATAAAACAGAGCCTGGCGTCGCGGCAGATGTTTATCATCCCAACACTCAGGACATTAAAGCAGAAGTGCCCCAAGTGTGAGGCTAGCCTAGGCTACACAGCAAGACCTCGTCTCAAAAAACAAAACAACAACAAAAACACATGAAACTTTCAAAACTTTATCCCAATACTTTGTATTTAATAAGAGCCATTTTTTACCATAATAGGGGTCACTGTCCATTGTACTTACTTCTGTATAACATTTTGCAAGCTTAACATCATACCCAATTCGCCTTTCATTTTTTCTCTGTTTGCACGACATTCTGCCAAGTATCGAAGAGCCTACAACAGGAAACAATAGGTTACATGTCCATATTATTCAAAATTAAAACCACAAACTTACTACAAGAAAAAAAGAGAGAAAATGCAGTTTTTATTTTTAGATTCACTGGTTTTGAAAGGTTTAGAAACTCTTCTTTAAATGTAACAATCAGGAAAATCTCCTAATGGAAAAATGACCCTCAGAGTTATAGCAGCTTAATTTGCTCTTTGAAATGAAGGTTCTAGCTTATCTGCAAGGTCAGAATTAAGGTTGTTCTGGTTTTACTTTGAACACTTCATCTAAACAAGGACACAACTAAGGAACTATATTCCATTTATTAATTTCAAGTAGTCATATCAGCAATGGCTAACAGGTCCCTACATGTTTTCACACATTAAGTAAATTTCCAAGAGGGACAAAACATACAACACCTTTGTAAAATGAATAGATTCTATTTTACTACACCTTTAAAAAATGTTTTTTGAAAGAAAAAACCGAAGATAATTTAATGGCCACAAATTTTCTATTTGTGAGCTAAACTATCTTTGCTAGGGTGTTTTTTTCTTACATACTTAAAATGTTTTGCAATTATTTCTTTCATGAGCTGCTTCCTTAGCAATATCATTTAGTTAGTTCCCTTTACACCTAAACAATGCTAGCATCTGCAGATCTCATCCATCATAACCTGATACTGTGGGCTATACCACCCAAAACTCTGTATCTCAGTCCCCTGACCTTTCACATTTCTATGGTCTTACGCCTTCCATTTCCAAAGGGCCTGATCTTTACAAAAAATGTACAATTTACAAAGTCACAAACTCAACAACCTCATCTTATTCCTGCAAATTACTCCCACTGTAACTTCTACTTCAGCCCGAAACTGTTTAATTCCTATGGCAACTGACCTCCTTCTTAAAAAACTAACAGGGAGGACAACATACATCAAATGTCCATTTTCAGATAGTGGTCAAGAGGCAATACAGGACCCAGCATGGTGGTACATGCCTATAATACCAACACTCAGGAGTCTGAGACACAAAGATTGCCCATTGAATCAAGGTCAGCCTGGGCTACAGAAGTGAGTTCAAGGCCAGCCTACACTACACTTTGAGGCCTGTCTAAAAAAAAAAAAAAAAAAAAAAAAGTAATATAGTCCTATAAACCATGAGAGGAGAAATGATGAGGTTGGTCCTATAAGTACCCCACTTTCCTGCTAATGAAGAAGTTTCCAGATTGCAGCACAGGGCAGAGCAACCCAAATGAAGCCTAACTGTCCTGCTGGATTCAGGAGGCAGAGATCAAACCTGAAGTAGCTGGAGTGGCTAGAATCTATAGGTCAGAGTACAGAGGGAAGATCTGCAGAGCCAGAACAATTCTAGAGATCTACAAAGGGGTGTAAAAGAATATGACTGAATAATGATCAGTGCATACCTGGGATAAAAAGTTACATGACTAGGGAATAAAACCATCAGAAAGTGGGGAAAACAAATCCTGAAACTCACAACAGGCTGGGAAGTTTGGGATGCCACAAGCCAAAGGTATAAAGACCTCACCACTTGGGGGCTTCAGGGAGCACCCTCAAGAACCCTCAAAAGAGCTTCACCTTAGCAGTAAAGATCACAGAACGAAGGCTGCTTTGGCTCCACCCTAATAAAGCCCAAGACAAGCTTAGAAAGAATCAAACCTAGTTCAAATAATTTATCAGCAATATAGAACAAAGTTCAAGAATATTTAGAGGAATACAAAAAAAAAATCCCCAAACTCAAAAATAGGTAACATTTTTAACTGGTAGCTGATTAGAAATTACCAGGCACCAAACAAGATACAACAAATTATTGAAAAGATCACACAGGGGGCTGGGGATTTAGCTCAGCGGCAAAAGCGCCTGCCTGGCAAGCGCAAGGTAGTGAGTTCAGTTCCCGGTACCGGAGAAAAAACCAAAACCAAAAAAAAAAGAAAAGATCACACAGCATGACCAAGTAGGCTTCATCCCAGAGATGCAACAATGGCTAAACATATGCAAATCAATAAGTGTAATATATTACCTAAACAGAAGAATAAAAATCACATTATCATCTCATTAGATGCAGAAAAAGCCCTTCAAAGAATCCAACAGCTATTCATGATAAAAACACTAAAAGAAAACAGGTAGAGAAAGACCTTATCTCAATCTGCTAAAAGCCATTTTATGACAAAACAACTGCTAACATCTCATTAAATGAGGAAAAACTGAAGGTTTTCCTTCTAAAACCAGGAATAATACAAGGATGTCCACTATCATCACTCTTGTCCAATATAGTTCTCAAAACACTAGCCAGGGCAATCAGGCAAGAGAGTAATAAAACAGATGTATACAAATGGGAGAAAATGAAATTATCATTATTTGCAGAGATGTTCCTCAAAACTAAAAAATCCCACCAAAAGACTCCTAGAAAAATCAAATTCAGCAATGTAGTAGGATACAAAATCAACACACAAAAATCAATAGCATTTCTATACACCAATAATGAATTCACTGAGAAAGAAATTAGGAAAAAATACTATTCACAATAGCATCAAGAAAAATTAAATACTTACGAATTAATGTAACTAAGGAAGTAAAAGAACTCTACAATGAAAACTATAGTACTCTCAAAAGGAGATAGAAGAGATCAGAAATCCTGTTCCTGAAGAGACAGAATCAATACAACCAAAAAGCCATACTTCCAAAACGGATATACAGATTTAATGCAATCACAATCAAAATACCAACAGCATTCCTCACAGAACTACAGAAAACAATCCTAAAATTTATATGGAACCCAAAGAAACCCAGAATAGCAAAAGCAATCCAGGGAAATAAGACCAAATGAGGAGGCATCACAATCCCAGATTTTAAATTATATTACAGCCAGGTGTGGTGGTGCATGTCTGTAAACCCAGCACTCAGGAGGCTGAGGCAGGAGGATCACTGTGAGTTTGAGGCCAGCCTGGGCTACACAGTGAATTCAGGGCCAGCCTGGGCTACACAGTGATTTCAGGGCCAGCCTGAAATACATAGTGAGACCCTGTCTCAAAAAACCAAATAAAAAAATAGTATGACAAAACTACAATGATAAAAAGAGTGTGGTACTGGCATAAAAATAAGACATATGGATCAAGGATACAGAATAGAGGATAAAGAAACACATCAGGCACATTCAGCTATTTGATCTCTGACATGTGTAATGGCTTCATGTCACTGTCTGTTTAAACGTGCTGCCTGTGCCTCCCTCTGCCCCCGCAGTGCCTGCTTAACCCACGCAGACTGCTTCATTTTCCCACTGGCACTGCAGCTCCGTGTCTCTTTGTATTATTAGAAGTTGCTTTGTTGCGCCATTTTTAATTTGGAGCATTAACAAAATGTTTACACACAAATAAATACAAGTGTCCTATGGGGAAAAAAGGTAACTGTTTAAAGCAAAACAAAGTACTGTAAATGTAGATGCTTAAGCACAAGTAGAAGTAAAATGTACAACAAAAATACAATAAAAGATGTGAGAAAGGAATGGAAACACTTTCATTACTTTTACACAATACATGAAACATACGGTTCATTTAAAGGTAGATTGATATAAATTAAAAACGCATAGTGTAGCTAGGTATGGTGGCACATGCCTGCAATCCCAGCACTTGAAAGGCTGAGGCAGGAGAATCACCATTAGTTTGAGGCCAGCCTGGACTACAATAGCAAGTCTTTACCTCACAAAACAGAACAAAAAAATGTGTAGTGTAAAACATAGAGTAAATTAAAATAACAACAAAGGGACATACAATCATCACTTGTGACAATAAAAGGGTATTATGAAAACACCACATCTGCTCTTCAATCTCACTGGCAACTATTATCCACTGAGCCCTCGAATTAGCTCTCCTCCTCTGTAATTTTACTTCCCCTTACCATGCAGCACCACAGCCTATCATTTCACCCACTCTGTTGCATAAAACCTGAAGTTCCTTGTTTATCATTCCGTGCCTCTCACCCGGCCAAACCCTGGACAAATTCAACCATTTGCCTCTTAGGACTTGTACTGGGCCCAAAAGAGAAAAACGAGTTTCATGATCAAGTCATACAGCAATTCAGCGCGACCAAACTAATCAGTACCTCAACAGTGCTAACCAATCTCACCATCCTCCTCAGGCAGCAACCTCTCCCATCTTCAGGAACTAGGAAATCCTTCTAATTTTCTACTCTGGCCACCCTTGCCTTCTGAGCTTAGACATTCCAGTCTACGACAAAGAAAGACTTCCTTCGGCCCCACGCTCCTGTGTAGAAACCAACACCTTCTCTCTTCTCCGCCCCTTAGTTTCTTACTAAAGCAGTATCCAAACTAGAAGCCAGGCGATTTTTCTTATTTGTTACTACTGTTCACTTTTACATCAGTGTCAGTTTTGCCCATTAAACTTTGCCCGGTGAAGCCACAATGAAAACTCAAGTTTGTACAAACTTGTGAAATTAGACGAAGTGGGAACTTTATCCTAAGTCCTTAATAAAGGACAGTGAGCAAAACTTACATTAACTTTCTTTCAAACTTATTTTGTTATGAAGATTTTACAGCACACAAGAACAGAACACATATGTGGCCAACCCCACGTACCCATCACGCACCTTCAACAATTACCAACTACTTGGCAATTTTGCTTCATCTACCCCACCGCCCATCACCACCACAGAGAGTTTTATTAAAAAGTCTAATCAGAGAATGTATTATCTCATTGTAAATATTTCAGGAGATCCCCAGAAAATTAGTTATTTTTAACAGTAACTTAATGGTATTACTATTATAATATCCTGCAGAAGTAATGATCATTCTTTAATATCTCATATCCATATTCATTTCCTGATACTTAAAAATTATTTAGCCAGGTGTGGTGGCGCACGCCTGTAATCCCAGCACTCGAGAGGCTGAGGCAGGAGGATTGTTGTGAATTCGAGACCAGCCTGGGCTGCAAAGTGAGACTGTCTCAAAAAGATAAAAAAAAAAAAATTATTTAAATGGGGCTCCAAAATGGGATTGATATGGCCCTTGTGAGTCTTTTAAAAATCTCTAATAATTACTACCATCACTTCCTCCACCTCAGCTGCCTTTCTTTCAATGCCAGTTACTATTCAAGGAATCAGACTACTTGTCCTCAAGAAATTATCACATTCTCAAAAAAAAAAAAAAGGAATTACCACATTCTGTATTTGTCTGTTGCCTTATGTTGTTCTTTAACACGTTTCTCTAGCCCCCACATTACTCATAACATAATCCCTTCTGCTTTATTTTGTTTTTTGTTTTTTGAGACAGGGTCTCACTATGTAGTTCAGGCGGCCTTTAACTCACTACGTATTCCAGACTGGCCTCAAACTCGTGGAGATCTTCCTCCTGCCTCAGCCTCCCAAATGCTGGGCCTACAGGCGTGCGCCACCACGCCCAGCGTCTTTTTGCATTGTTAGCTATGACTTTCTATATTTTCCTAACTTTCTTCCTCATGTTAAAATAACAAGTCCTACATCCATCAGCTAATGAGTACATAAACCAAATGTGTCATACCCATACAGTGGGGTATTACTCAGCTTCAAAAAGTAAGTACTGATACACGTTGTGATATGGATAAACTCTGAAAACGTGCTACATGAAAGAAACTTGTCACAACAGAACATGTATTACATAATTTCTGTTTATTTGAAAAATCTATAGGCATTCTTGCTAGAATAGGCAAATCCAGAAAGAAAGTAGATAGGTGCTTATATAGGCACAGAGGCTGTGGGATTAGGGAACAAAAGGTAAAAAGTAGCTTCTTTCTCAGGCAATGAAAATGTTCTAAAAGCAGCATGGGTGAAGTGTCACACACTTTAATCCCAGCCACTCAGGACCCTGCGTCAGGAGGATTGCAAGTCTGAGGCCAGCCTGCACAGACGCAGCTCAGTGACAGAGTGCTGGCCTAGCATATGTGAGGACCTGGGTCAAGCCCCAGTAGCAAAAACAAACAAGTGCCTTTTTGAGTGTCTCTCTAGATCGGTAAGATAACATCTTCATGGTTTCTTGTAGCTCAAGGGCCAGGGGATACCCCAGCATCTGTAAAGCCCTCACTTCGACACTCAGCACCACAAAAGAAACACAAATGTTATGACTGGGTGTAGCAGTGCACACCTATAGTCTAAGCTATTTGGGAGGCTCAGGTGTGACGACCACCAGCCTGAGCAACAGTGAGAACTCCATCTCAAAAATACAAGCTGGGGGTGACAGCAGATGCCTGCAATCTCTTCTTCTTGGAGGCTGAGGCAAGAGAATTATAAGTTCATGGCCAGCCTGGGCAACTTAGCAAGACCCTGTCATAAAATATAATAAAAAGGTATGGATGGAGCTCAGCGCTTCTTGGGTCCAATCCCTAGTATTGCAAAAAACAAAATGTATTGTCTTGTAAATTAAAAACAGAAAGTAGTAGAGATTTCATGTATACAGTATGCCACCACTTATGTTACAGAATAAAAACACTGTGGCTTGCTACCATTTGTATAAATAGATTATTCATGTACTATAGTTTCTGCATGTTTTGCATACAGAAATACTGACTATTATTTGGTTTGGTCTCTTAATTTTTTACCATGTCTTCCAATACATTTCCAAATATTTCTTCAATGCAAAATTAAAACTCTGATTAACATTGAAAATGCTAAAGGCAACTTACAAGCAAAGCCGAGTGGACAACAGGGGGGTTGGGATGGTCCATAAATAAAATAAGGCCAGGCAGACATCCTTGATCCTGGACAATAGCTCTTCTATTTAATGGATCTGCTGCCAGATCCCGTAGCTGGTTAACTACTGATAGAGCATCAGGTTCTTCATTCATGGTGGAGGAGGAAGAATTCATCTTCTATGTCATACACATGAATAAAATCTTCTTAAATTCTGTAGAAAAGGTTTGCAAAATTAGTTCTAAGCCACTAAGGTAAATTAGTGTCCTTGTTAAATAACCAGGATAACAACATCTTTAGCAAGAAACAGATGAATCCAAACCACACACAAAAAAGAGAATTGGCAATTCCATAGTTTGAGAAAAATAAAATCAACATAAGAAGCTGAAGAAATCAAGTTATTTTTGTGTGCACAATGTTCAAAGAACATATATCAGCCTCAATATTATAATAAATTCCTTTTTTAGCAATACATATTTTAACACTGCAGTCACAATAAGCAAGATCTTTACAGTTCAAGCTTGTAACCTTTACTACACTTCTCAAACTGTAACACTGCCAGTTTTTTTCCCCTTGAACTTTTCTGGTCCTATATCAAGTGCCTCAGGGAAAACTGACCAGCTGATAGCTGGTTTTTTTCCTCTGCCTCCTCTGTTTTTGGTCCTTATCTATGAACAAAACAAAACAAAACAAAACAAAACCAGTATACCGACTATAAAAGATAAAATTCCCTAAGAAAAAGGCATCAAGCAAGGCTGTAGAGGAAGAAGCCCAGAAACCTGTGCCTGACAGTTTGGAATATCACGGTGAATCAGAAGTGAATCTAAACATACCTGTCATGTCTCTCTCATCTAATGCCTACTGAAAAAACAACAGGAAGGAGGAAACAGAATTTGAAGTCACTCATCTAACAGACAGGGAAATGGTCACAGAGATATACAAAAGCCAAAGAAACAAAATGTCAAGGAATAATCTTCATTAATGCAGAAAGTCAAAAACAGCAACTTTAACCAAATCACACAGTATATTCCTCATTGGGAAAAATATAAATGTGTACATACTTTTCACAAATGGATGTGTTTAATGTTAACTCCAATAACAATGCCACCTTGTCAAGGCTACAGAGAAAAAATCATTCTGGTCAGTCCAAAAAAATCTTTGGTTAAAATTCTATTCAAAGGCTGGGCATGGTGGCCCACCCCTGTAATCTCAGCACTCCGGAGGCTGAAGCAGGGGATCATTGCAAGTTCAAGACCAGCCTGGGCTACAAAGTGAGCTCAAGACCAGCCTGAACTGCATAGTGAGACCCTGTCTCAAAAAGACAAAAAAATAAATAAATAAATAAAGGAAAACTGGCCTTACTATGTACCAGAATATTCAAAGTTACAACAATAAAGCAACAGTACTAATGGAAGAAGGGGAGAGATAAAATAGTTCTCCCAAGAAAATTACTTATGCATTCAATATAAGAAAACTACCAACTTAGTCAAACCCAGGCTCTATCACTTGAAAACTATGACTTTTGGCAAGTCCCTTAAACTCTTTGTATCAGTTTCTTCATCTGTAAAATGGGTTTAATCACAACAACTACCAAATAGCTTATTGTCCAGATGAAATGGGAAAAGATAGCTTTAACTAGTGGCTAGCACAAAATAAATGCTCAATAAATGGAAGTTTAAAATTACATGACATCAAAAAAAATTCAATGAAAAAAGTTAAGATTCAATAAGTAGTGTTAGGATAACTTGGCATTTTAAAAACTACTGTTAAGGATCTTTAATGACATATGGCCAAGAAACAAAAATCACATTCTAGATAAAATACATTAAACTGATGAATTAAAAAAAAAACCTCAGCCCAGTATGGTAATCCTACCCCTTGGGAGGCTGAGGCAGGACAGTGAGTTCAACGCCAGCCTGGGCTACACAGTGAGTTTAAGGCTGGCCAGAGGTACACAGTGAGACCCTGTCTCAAACACACACACACACACCAAAAAAAAAAAAGAAAGAAAGAAAAAAAAAAAACTCTAAGCAAATGCAAACAGAGGGCTCTGAAAAAAGACTAGGATAGTATTAGCAGGAAACTCTCCCAAGAGGAAAATACTCTTCTTGGTACAATCATCTCTGAAACACCAGGATAAAAGCAAGGGCAACGGACTGAATGTGCAGCCTAGACTCAGGCCAGGCATGGGCAGTGGAGCCCTATAGTCCCAGCCCCGCACACTGAGGCCGGGCTGCCATGAGTTCACTGCGTCAGCGCTAGAAAGCGAGTTCAAAGCCAGCCTGGCTAGAGAGCAAGACCCAGTCTCACACAACCAAACAAATACTACGGGATTTGAGGGCACATTGCCTGACAATGTCTCTATGATCAGCATCTTGCATTACCCTGTTTACAAGCCAGCTTACCTGCAAGCTTTACATGCTATCACTAGCACAAGTTTTACTCAAAATGGAAACTGCAGAGCCAATTATTGGTTCAAAAGCCCCAAAGCAAAGTCATAGTTAGGAACCAATATTCTGGGGGATGGCTTCTCCAGAATGCAGGTCTTGAAACTAGAAGGGTCTACTCTCATCCAAGGTGTCCTAAGGTAATTGGGTAATTATGCAGTAAGAATGAGCCTTAAAAAGTTATATGCAGATATTCTTCACTTAATGAAGTCCCTGTTTAACAACTGCTCATATTTGTTTTTTGTTTGTTTGTTTTGTTGTTGTTGTTTTTCCAGTACCGGGAATCGAACTCACAACCTTGCGCTTGCCAGGCAGGCATTGTGCCGCTGAGCTAAATCCCCAGCCCCTACTGCTAGGGCTTATGACCCACCAACAACTCATCTTGTTTTGGGCAGATCTGTACATCCTGCTTACACAGTATCAATGTCTCCTTTTTTTGTACAATACACCTTGTTTACATAGTACTGTAAGTTTTGCGGATTGTACTACACAGTACTGTAGTTTTGTTATATTTTACAGTACTGCACATAAGAGTTACAGAAATAAAAGCAAGTCATCAGTTGGGAGTTTCCTCTGAACACTTCTCTGTTTTGAATACTGTCATGTACATACTATATACTATTCCTCAGTGATCGACCATTGCAAAATGACCTAGTTGCAAAACATGAACTCGGGTCATTAGAGTAGTGTCTGTATAACTTTCCCGCTCCTTTAAGATAAACAAAAGTCAAAATAGTTACAACTTGCAAGCTTCAAAACCCACAGACTCTGGCTCAAAACGATCTAAGAAAGGCTGCTTCCTAAGAAAGGACTAGAGTCATCAAAGAACTGAACATAATGGAGAGAGCTGTGGTCAAGTGCCACACTTCTAAAAGGCCTAAATGAAAGGAGGAAAGGCAGGCAGAAGCTATAACTTGTTCCTCCAGTTAGGGGGCTTTTGATAAACCTTCAAAAGAGAACTACTTACTATTAAAGAGGTTTTTTATTTTTTAACTTTTAGTATTTTTGATAACATCAAGTTACTCTGACATCCTTTTCTAACTACATTACCCAATCCTGTTAAATGATCAATATCTCTTTGGACTGCAGAGTTTACATGGCTGATTTTATGAGAGCAAGCTATGAAATAGTTAAAATGGAGACAGATAAGCTAAAATTAGCACTTTAATCCCAATGTATTAGATATATTTTGAGGTTTTGTGATAATTCTATCAAGCACTGAAGTTGTTTAATAAGATGTATGTCCATTCAAAGGTTGGAAAATGGCTTTAAATGATTACTTCAGAATTCATTCCATCCTATCCCTTCCATTCCCAATTGGGCAGACCTCAAAATATTTTTAAATAACCTGAAATGCTGATATGAGCAATCTTATAGCAGCCAATGAATCATAATATATTAAAAACAAAAAAAAAATCACCGGGCATAGTGATGCATGCTTATAATCCCAGCACTCAGGAGGCTGAGGCAGGAAGATCTCTGAGAGTTAGAGGTCAGCCTGGGCTACACAGTTCAATGCCAGCCTGAACTACATAGTGAGACCCTGTCTCAAAAAATAAATAAATAAAATAAAAACAAAAAAGCATTCTCCTCCCTTCTTCTACCTTATGCTCAAGAGCAAATGAATTTGTTTTACTGAAAACACTAATGTCAAGAAAAAAAGAATAGAAGGGAAAAAAATGGAAACAAAGCTTTTATAAATAAGGAGAGGAGGAGAGGTTGAAGGGAAGGGAGGGGAATGGGAAAAAAAGAAGATATATCACATACAGGTAAAATATTACTATGTATATCTGAAACGTATCAATAAAAAAACCACCTGCGGACCTAGACAGCCTGTATCAGAATAATCTGTGATTATTATTAAAATGCAAATTCCCAGGCACTAGCCAGGACCCAGGCAGCAGTCTTTGGAGGTATGGCTTATCTCAGTAAGTACACCACGTAATTCTGGTGAAAATGAGACATTAAAATTCTACAAGAGGTTTTCTTTCCTCACTGAGCAACATAAAATTATGTTATTTGGAAGTAGGTTTCAGTCTTACTACCAGATAACACAATCAATAAACTGAAAAAGCAAAGCAAAACAAAACCAAAAAACAAAAGCAGCAGCAAGTCTACTCTTTCCTTCCAAAGAAACTAACTGGATGGTTTCTTGCTAACTGGAACAAAACTGTGGGGTGATATTACAATGGGAAACTACACCGGGCGTGGTGGTGCGTAATCCCCACACTAGGGAGGCTGAAGCAGGAGGATCTCTGTGAGTTCGAGACCAGCCTGGGCTACACAGTGAGCTCAAGACCAGCCTGAACTGCATAGACAGACCCTGTCTCACAAAGACAAAAAAAATTTTTTAAATGCAATGGTAACTAGACTTTCCACAGATTATGTGTGAGCACAAACTTCTTGAAATTCTATTTGTCACCATTAGTATCTATCATTTGTCTCAGTCTTTGTCCTTTTAAAATCAGCACCTAAACTGCATCTCTATAATCCCAGCACTCTGAGAGGCTGAGGCAAGAGGACAGAAAATTCACATCCAGTCTGAGCAGCTCAGCAAGACCCTACTCAAATTTTAAAAGGTGTCAAGGACGGAGGTTCCGGATGCAGCTTAGTGTGACAATTTCTGGCTGCTGTGCTAGAAATGCCACTACGGACATAATTTACTGTTTTTAAAATCACAGCCCCACTAAAAAAACTTCTTCCTTGTTTTTCCACATTCCACGCTTATTAGAATACAAGCGGATATGTACTGTATGACTTTATTTTCTCTTTTGTTCAGTTAAGTTTGGACAAGCACAGCATCAAGACAATGAATGCTCCCTAAACTTTAACAAGCACTCTGCTCACCAAAGGGATCTTGTTAAAAAATAAATACTGATTCAGTAGATGGAGCAGGGCCTAAGATTCCGCATTTTCAACAAGATTACAAGTGCTGCCTGTCAGGGAGTCACACTTCTGGAAGCAGGGAGTTAAGATACATGAAAGACACCTGTAGTTAGGCAGGTGCCTGAAGGATTCTTTTACCAACACCCACCAATCGACTCAGACTTTTTTCAGCTCTCTAAACCGGGCGTGGTGGTGCGTAATCCCCGCACTTGGGAGGCTGAAGCAGGAGGATCGCTGCGAGTTCGAGACCAGCCTGGGCTACACAGTGAGCTCAAAGCCAGCCCGAACTGCATAGTGAGACCCTGTCTCAAAAAAGACAAAGAAAATTTTAAAATTAAATGGGAAACTAGACTTTACACAGATTATGTGTGAGCACAATAAGAACGCTGTAGACAAGACACACATACCCGACGTCCTTATTGATTTATGGTTATTAAAAAAAAAAAAAAAAAAACAAACAGCAGTGCGCTAGATCTGCCTTTCTCCTTGCTCACAACTAACCTTACTGAGAAGCGCAGCGACCTCCTGCCAGCCTCGGGCTCTTCACACAACCACAAAGCGAACCTCAGGTTCAAAGAGCACCAGGATGCGAGATGATGAACAGAACGCCGACAAGCACTAAACGGCACAACACTCTAAGCTGTGTTACTCCGGTCCCCACCGAGTTGGCGGGGGGCAGTGAGTTCCACGGAAGGAGCTGCTGGAAGCATAAATGCGCCCCAATATGTTTCAATTACAGGGATGTGAACACCGGTCTCCCCTGAATTAAACCAAACGTCCACACCCGCGGGTCTCCTTAAGAGACACAAGTTCCCGCAAGGGGAAGTCACCAGCCCGAGGAACAGCCGGCGAGGACGGGAAGAGGCGCGAGCACACCCACGATCACCGGGCTGGGGCTGGTACACGCCGGAGGCCGGGCGCCGCGAGGGGCACGGCGTTCCTCGAGGACGCGAGGAGGACCGCGTTCCCCGCGCCGCAGAGCCCGAGCGGAAGCGGGACCCCCGGGCCGGGGCCGTCCCCCGCGGCCTGCCCAGCTCGGCGCTTTGTCCGCCGCCCCGGACCCGACCTACCGCTGCAGAGCCTTACGAGCGCGGAGCCTGCCGAACCATCAAGGCAACATCTACGGGAAGAGCGAGGGGACCCCGACGGCGCGCCGCAAGCCCCAGGCGCGCAGCCGCGGCCTGAGCAGCCACCAACACCCAGACCCACTGAAGAAGCCAAAGAGCAAGGCGCTGGTGGGGGAGGCCCGGCAGACTCGACCCCAGAGACCCTGTCGCCTCTGTCAGTTCTGTTCCTCCATTGGCTGATGAGGCCAGCGCGAGGAGAAGTATCCAATCCATGAAGGCTTTCTTAGACTAACTCATTCATTGGTGAACTAGGCAAATGCATGGAGCGTTCAATGCTCAGGTCCAATGAGGACCCAGAACACTGGATTGAACCTCATGACTTTCCGTCCCCTTTGATTCCAGCGCAGAAACTACTGGGCTTCTCGACTACAACTCCCAGCGTCACTTTAGCTACGCTTTCATTTCTGTATCTTCCCAGTTTTAGTATATGTGCTGCCAAAGCGAGGGAACCTTTCATTTCTAATACAGCAGTTTCATCATATTTGACCCGCCTTCTTGGGTCCTAATTCGTAATCTCAAAAAAAAAAGTTTTAGTTTGTTTTTTTTTTTTCTATTTTGTTCATTTATTGTTTGTACGGGTTTGTTGGTTTGAAGTAATTTCTTTTTGGAACAAGTTTTTTTACTTATAAGGAATTTCTGATGAGAGAATTATCTCAAATTTGTAAATAAGGAGGGGAAGAAGGTTTGAAGGCAGGGTAAAGGAATGGGGGTAAAGCATTAAGGTATGTACAGGCACAGATTTCCTATAATAAATGCGATCGTTATGTATACCTAAAAATGTACCAATAAGCAATTAATAAAAAATTTCATCATGAAGTCTTCTTAATACTGCCTTCTATTTATCAGAGTCATATGTTTGTTTTATCAGTAGCAGTCACTGAAGGTTTTGAGTATGGATTTTATTTTTTAAAGTACAGTATTTCTCTGAAGTGGAATCTAAATCCCACAAGCAAATCTTTGAGAAAAATACATCCATTGCACTCAACCTCACTGAACAGATTTTTGATTGGCTCGTCTACAGTTTGATTCTGCTATGCTACTAATATATGAAAGTTTGGTGGAATTTAAAAGGCCTCTAATGGAGAAAGTGGATGAGAAAATTCCTGGAATATAATACTATATTAATATCTCCCATACTTTGATTATAAGTGAACTTTTAAAACAAAAGGTTACTGTACTTGAGTTTACTTATATTTCCTTGTTCTTGGTTATCTTCCTGTAATAAACTCAACAATAGCAAAATAAAGCCCTCTTTCACATTGGTCTCTTTTGAGGCCAGGGATATAGCTCAGGGGCACAAGTGCCCGCCTGGCGAGCGCAAAGTCCTGAGTTTTGTTCCCGGTACCAAAAAAAAACCAAACCAAAACAAAACAAAACCATTGGTCGCTTTCATACTATTTGACCTATAACAAAAACAAGTCTGGCATGGCTTCTTTTTCGTAAGAATGAGTGGTGGTAGGCAAACACTGACTTTAAATTTTAAAATATATAATGACCTTGTCTCAAAGAAATGGAAATTAATCTTAGAAAAAAACCAAACTTATTTTCCTGTATTATTGAGAGACCCTGTCTCCAAAAAAAATAAAATAAATAAAAAATAACAAGCAAAAAATACACCCACAAACACACACACAGTTACATTTCCTAGGTACCTATGGATGACCAGCCTTAGGAAAGTCTTTAAGGTTTTCATAATTCATATCACCATATAAAGAGTGTCTGGATTTGACACTAGTGAAGTTATACTATCTATCATTATGAGTCACTACTAGTTCTTAGCTTTGGATATCTTACCACAGGATACAGCTGGAATGTCAGGTTTCTTAACAGTTGTGTTGCTTAAATCACATGATACTGTGTCAGATACTGGCAGCTTCATTCATTCGGTTATTTAACAAACATTTTTTCAAAATATACCTTGTGCAAGAGATAATCTAACATATGGATTCAAAAATTACAAAAAAATCCTTACCCTCAATAGGTTCACATCCTAAGGAGTTGAAGCAGCACGGGTTTCTGAAACTTTCTGATCAACCAGCACTTTTCAGCTTAAAAATATTGTCTTGAACATGTAGTTCAGACAATGTGTATATATTCATAAATTCTACACATGTATTATCAAACAACTATGTATTTTTAAAGGTGATAAAATATATATACATATGTAAACATATATAAATACAAATATAAATATATACATATATATGCCTGGACATGGCAATGAACACTCTTAATACCAGGACACAGCCAGGCATGGTGGTGTAGGCCCATAATCCCAGCACTCAGGAGACTGAGCAGTAGGATCGCCAGGAGTTGGAGGCCAGCCTGGGTTATACAGTCAATTCAAGGCCAACCTGGACAACAAAAGTAAGACCCCCCCAAAAAAAAAAATAGAAGAAAGAAATAATTCCAACACAGAAGAGGGAAAAGCAGGAGGGTCTTGAGTTTGAGCCCAGATTAAACTACATAGTTAGAGCTGTCCATAAATAAGCAAATAAATAAGAAATAATTAAAATGGAAACTCTAGCTATTTATCTGGATGAAAATAAAATTACATTCATACATTACATCATTTACTATAAAAAATTGATTCCAGATGAAATAAAAACTCTTGAAGATTACACATACAATTTAGATTCAGGGGAAGGGAGGAGAGATGTATGACTGGAAGCCTAGAAATAAAAAAGAAATAAATGGACTTATCTAGTTTGTTTTATAAAGTACAGTGGTAGAGTCCTTATGTAGCACATGCAAAGCACTGGGTTCAGTCACCACCAGCACTCTGAAAAACAAAAGCAGTAATTTCTCAATATGGCAAAAATACATAAGCAATATCAATAAGTCTAAGGGTAAATTGTCTACCAGTGGGCAAATAGAGGGTAATAACAAGAAAGAAATAACCAACTATATAGAAATTGGACAATGGATATAAATTGACATTTTATACAGAGAAAATCCATGTGGCATATAAGCATGAAAAGACATAATAAAACTCACAAAATTAAGATTAAAAAGGAATAATCACTGAATGCTGATCAAACTGCAAAAATCACAACGATACAACATTGATGAGAATGACAGGTAGGAAGTGGGATCTTTCCATATTTTCTATGGAAATGTAAATTATCACAACATTTTAGAGAGCAACCCAACAAAATCTAGTCTAAAAATATTACTTTTGACACAATTATGACTTCAAGAATCTAAATCATGGAAATAAAAATCAGCATATAAAAATATAAAGACTGATCTCTTTCGTTTTGGTTCTTTGCTTCTTTTATTTTTATTTTATTTTTCAGCCAACAGTCTTTATTGCAGCATTGTTCATAGTGCTAAACAAAAACCACATCCAATGAATTCATCAATAGTGCACTGTTTTAGTAAACCATGATATATCTACAGGCTATGGATCATTATAGAGCTATTAGTAAAAATAAAGCTGTAGAAAAGAACTTGGAAGAATTTATACACTAAGCAATAACAGTGCTCAAAAGTGTATCTATTATTATCTCATTTTTGAAAATCATAACAAATGAAACCTTGAAGATGTTCATACAAGTAAGTTTAGATATGAGCGTGGAAATATATGAAAAGAGGCAATCCATGTTTTCAGATGATACAAATGGGACAACATCTGGAAAACAAAATCAATCATACAAAGAAAAGACAAGGGGGATGAAGAAGATGTGTGTAAGTATAATTTTAAGCTAGAATGGAGGAAAGGGGAAAGGAAGGGAAAAGGCAGAAAAAATGCAAGTTAGTTATACTATGAGTGTCTTTTGGTTCATAGAAAAGGAAGATTTGTGCTAATATAGATTGGGGAATTTTTTATGCCCATATCCTGTACTCCGGGTAACTACTTTAAAGATAATAATATGCAATGTATTAAAGATTGTTATTCTCCTATCATCTTGCTATGAAATTTTGTTTCACCTTTTCTTCCATAAAATAAAAAACATTTATATATAACATGATTAGTTAACATTAAGTAGAATCACATGCAGTTTTTTTTTCCTTGTAGTGCTAGGAATCAAACCCAAGCCCTTATACATCTTAGGCAAGTGCAAGCTGGCCATATCCCAACCTTAAAATTATGCAAGTAAATGTAATAAAATATATTCAACAACAGTTTTTACAGCTATGTATTATGCCATAAAGCGAAAGGGTATTTAGAAGTTCCGGGGAACTGCTTTTCCAACTATGAGAGTGACAAACTTGGGTTATGAAACAATTACTAATGAGCAGGTTCTGCGATAAAATATAAGACAAGAAGCTCAAGGAAAAACCAGCGAGATCTCTTTAAAGGCTTAGTGTCTATAAGAGCCCATTAAGAGGGCTGCATGGCATCATATGGATCACATGAGACTGACTCCAGTCACTTGCTCTCTGTATGACTCTGGACTAGTTGCAGGCTTCTGGACCTGAGTTTCATCCTCTGTAGAAACAGAGATTATAGCACCTACTACCAAGACTTCTGAAACAATTAAATACTGTATGTGAGAGAACATAATCTGTGTCTAGAATATATTTCACAAACGTAAATTCACTCTAATTTCTTTCTGTATCAAAATCGACTCTCTAGAAAAGATCTGATAAAAGTTGATTGGTTATGGTAATATTGTATTACTGATACTGAAAAAAAGAAAGAAAAGTAAAAGAAAAAATGTACTGGTTGGGATCAATCATTAAATATTCCTTGCTTATAAGAACTATATTTCTTTTTTTTTTTTTTTTTTTTTTGTCTCTTTGAGACAGGGTCTCACTATGCAGTTCAGGCTGGCCTTGAACTCACTTTGTAGCCCAGGCTGGTCTCAAACGCACAATGATTATCCTGCCTCAGCCTCCCAAGTGCTTGGATTATAGGCATGTGCCACCATGCCCAGTAAGAACTGTATTTGAAGGTAACAAAAATAGTGAATACAAAATAATTATTTTGGAAACTTGGAAATATTTAGAGATAAGCATTTTGTTGGGGGTATAGCTTAGTGGAGGAGCATTATCCCTAGCAAGATGAGGAAAGGAGGGAGAGAAAAAGAGAAAAGAAAAAAATTTCACCTGCTTCTCTTGATAAATGTTTCTCAGTATAACTAGCTCACAAATGAAAGGGGATGATCTCTTAATGAGATCATGGATCTATGTAGATCATCAATAGTTGATACTGTTACAAAGAAGAGAAACATATGAATTATGTTCCTTTTTGCCAGAAAACTACCTGCAGAAGATCAAGCCTTTACATCTAATTACCAGTTTATCAAAAATAAAAAGAAATAGGAGAACTTGTTCAATGTCACCAACACAATACAGTTAGAAAAATCCTAAAGGTAATCCTAATTTACCTAAAGGTAAATATATGTCTAGAGAACAAAAACCATTTTCTTCAACAAAACAGAAAGGAGGGGAGTAGAATCTGTAGAACAAAAAAATTTTAAGAAATATATCAACAAATGCAATAGGTTGCTCTTTTTGGATGCTCATTCAATTAAACCAACTAGTTATATTTAAAAAAACAATCAGACAAATTTGAATTTGAGCAGTAATTTCATATTAAGAACTAATTAATGGTTTAGGCCTGATAATGGTGCTTATGCTTTTTAAAAAAGAATCCAAAAAAAAAATTAGAAGGCTCCCTGTCTTTTAGTAATACATGTTACAATATTTATGGGTGGGAGGACCTATCGGAGATGAGTTTCAAAAGAATCAGAAGATGGGAAATTCTCTAGAAGAAATAGTTGCTATGAGCTGCTGATTATTGAAACTGGCTTTTGGACAGGAGGATTCTTAGAATTTTTTTTTCTTATTGTGTACGTGTGATATTTTCCATAATTGCAATTTTAAAAGCAAAACATACATAAGCCAGGTATAGTGGTGCATGCCTATAAACCTGGCTGCTCAAGAGCCTGAGGGAGGAGGATCTCAAGTTTGAGGTCAGCCTGGGTAATTTATTGAGATACCACTTTAAAATAAAAAATAAAGAAGGCTGGGAAGATAGTTCAGTAGCGGATCACCTGCCTATGCACAAGCCTAGGTTCAGCCCCCAGTAGCACACATACACAAAAAAGAGCCCCATGGATCAGGGTTGATACCAAGGGCTGCTTTACAGAAATGAATGACACATTTTGGTAAGGGTGTGATCTGTATACTTATTTGAATACAGAACTTTTCTGCCACTTGATATACTGATTGAAGAATAAAATAGTTTAATTAGTTCAGTAGTAAGTCTAGAACATTACAAAAAAGCTCAGAACAAAAAAATACACCTAAAATTAAACAACAAAATTGAAATAGTTCAGCCTCATTAGACACGATGGTGAAATACATATTTGTGCAGAGATTTACTTGACTAACACAGATGGAAATGATAATGTCCTGCAACAATATCCGCTTTTAATAGATTCTTTTGTTTTTTGCTTTGAACAGCAATTAAGGAAACTTGGAGCCAGAGGAGGTGATGAATGTCTGTAATCCCAGCACTGTGGGAGGCTAAGGCAAGAGGGTCACAAATCTGAGCCCCGCCTGTGGAATTTAGTGACTTAGTGAGACTCAGCTCTAAATTAAACAAAGAAAATTTAAAGGATGGGAATGTAGATCAATATGAAAGCTTTGGGCTGCGTCTCTGCCCTCCAAGCTCCTGGTGCAGCTAGGAGACACTGGTTCAGAAGGCTCACGAACCACTAACCCCGGGGTTCATGCTTGGGCCCTCCCTGTGCACGCCCTGTGCTGCCTGAGGTACTAGATCAGGCGGTACACGAACTACTGACACTGCTGTTTGGTTTTGTGCCAAGTCACAGAAACAGGCAGTCCACGATCACCGCCAGTGCAGCTCACATCTGGCTCGTGTGCATTCCCCAAGCTGCCTGGAGACACAGATTCAGGCAGTCCTTGATCTGCTGACATCACCATTCACACCTGAGGACTGAGAGAACCAGGTAGACCCCACCTATTTCCCAGGGACAGAGCGGGCGACCCCAGATCCTGCTGCCATTACAGTCTGTGTCTCCACCCTCCATGTGCCCGGTGCAGCCAGGAGATACTGGCTCAGAAGGCCCAAGAACCACTAACAGTCTGTGTCTCCACCCTCCAGGCACCCGGCACAGCCAGGACACACTGGCTCAGAAGGCCCACGAACCGCTAACGTCAGGGTTCGTGTTTGGGCCTTCCCTGCACATGCCCTGCACCACCTGAGGTATTAGATCAGGTGGCCCATGAACAGCTGACACCATGGTTCGCATCTGGGCTTTGTGGGCATGCAGACCTCCTGGAGGACACAGAAACAGGCGATCCATGATCACCGCCAGTGTAGCCCACATCTGGCTCCTGTGCCAGCCTGAGCTGCCTGAAGAAATGGAATCAGGCAGTCCATGAACTGCTGACCTGTGGTACATGTCTGGGCTCTGCCTGGGCCCTGAACTGCCTAGGGACATAGGACCAAGCAGTCTATGATCACACCACCAGTGCAGCCCACTTCTGGGTCATACGCGTGCCCTTATCTGCCTGGGGACACTGGATCAGGCAGTCTGTGATCTGCCGACATTGCGGTTCATATATGGCACCTGCAAGAACTAGGTACACTCCACCAACCACCAAAAGACCCTAGAATGAGCAGCCCATCTTGGCAGCCACTGAAGGGCAAGTATGACCACCAGGAAAAGTAGGGATGCTAGTGACCTTTGCTGAGCTGCCAGGGAAGAGGGAGAGTGGGTGCTCTGTCTCTGGCATCAAAAATGACAAGATGAAGGACTAAAATGCAATCTCAGAACTCCAACCCCACTCAGAACAAGTCCAGGAGACACTGACACACGAGAACTTGGTAAACACACACCTGAAATTGCTGAAATGATTGCAATGGAAGTAAAGAAACAACTCCATCAGGTCATAGAAGACATCAAATCAGAAATAATCTCTCAGGCAAAGAATGAAATAACAACAATAATGAAAGAATTGCTCAGCACATCTAAAGAAGATATATATAAAAAAATAGATGAGCATAGGAAACTGATGGAGACGTTAAATGGAAAATATAGGCATGAACTAGAATGCATGAAACAGATTCAAAGAGATATCTAGGAAATCAAAACCTCCACTGAAAGCTGGCAAACCACTTGAATGAAACCAAAGATAGGATTTCAGATCTTGAAGACAGCATGGCAGCTAACGATTGTGAGAGGAAAGATCTCTTAAAATTAACAAGGAACCAGGAAAAATCAAATAAACAGCTGTAAGACAATGCAAAGAGAAATGATGTAAGACTAATAGGAGTTAACGAAACAGCAGGTGGCAACACAAATGACATAAAAAGAGTATTTGTAGAAATAATAGCAGAAAATTTCTGAAGCATGGAAAAATATTCTGATGTACAGATAAGTGGGGCATCTAGAACTCAACTAGTCATAACCAAAGTAAAGTTACACCAGATATATAATAATCAAGATCCCAGACATTCAGCAAAAGAACAGAATATTAAAAGCCACTAGAGAAAAGAAACAGATCTCCTATAAAGGAAAGCCCATCAGGATCACAGCAGATTTCTCAACACAAAACCATCCAGTTGAGAAGAGCTTGGAGTGAAGTATTACAGGTCCTGAGACAAAATAGCTTCCAACCAAGACTGATGTATCCTGACAAACCATCCTTCAAATTTAACGGAGAAATAAAATATTTCCATGACAAAGCACAACTGAAGAACTTCATGAATGCCAAACCAACCTTACAAAGAGTACTAAAAGATAGTAGTTTTTGTGGTTTCTTTTGCCATTTATTTCCATTTCATTACAATATGGTCTGATAAAATCCACAGGATAATTTCAATTCCCCTGCATTTACTTCAGTATGTTCTATGAGCTAGTATGTGGTCTGCATTAGAGACCATCCCATGTGCACCTGAGAAGAATGTATATTCTGATGTTGTGGGCTGGAACACTATGTAGACATCTACTAAATCCATTTGGGACTGAGGATATAGCTCACTGGCACAGTGCCTGCCTGGCAAGTGCAAGGTCATGAGTTCAATTCCTGATACCAAAAAAAAAAATCCATTTATTGGAAAGTTGGTTCACTTGTGATATTTCTTTGTTGATTTTTTTTGTCTAGGTGATCTATCAACTTGTGAAAGTGGAGTATTAACATCCTGCATAGCAACTGTGTTAGTGCTTATTTGATTTTTCATGTCGTCAGAGATTCCAGGTGGGTGGCTTTCTGATTGCTTCACCTTATTTGCCCTCATGCTTGTCTTTGTTAAGCTGGAACTCTGGGGTGGCACCTTGCTTAAGTGTCTTCTCATTTTCTTTTTTTTTTTTTTTTAACTTAATTCTTGCATTGATGCTTGTAAATTTTTTTTTTTTTCTGTTTTTTTTCTCTGGTACCAGGAATCGAACTCATGACCTCACTCTTGCTGGGCAGGTGCCGTGCCGCTGAGCTAAATCCCCAGCTGTAAATTGCTTTTGGAAAGTAGCTTTATTACTAATATTGAGAACTCTTAGGTAATAACTCCTTGTCAGAGATGTCAAGGGTAGCTGACTTTTGGATTCTGAGTCTGCTGCAAGGTCCTACCACTTCAGTTTATTGGGATGAGAAGTTGCTGCCTACTTTATCCAGCCCCTCATTCTTTGCCACTGACCTATCATATTTTTGGATTATCATATTTGTTCAGCAAGGACAACTGGTTAGAATAATTATGTCACTTTGGCTAAAGGGGTACAGTCAGCAATAATAGTATGAAACACAGCCTAGAAAATGACAAACTGAGGTAACTATTAATTTGCCACATTTAACCATATGAACTAATTTGTGGTTATACAACAAAAGAAAAAAAGAACCAGAAAATTGTATGCACTAAATAAGCCCTCAGTATGGCAATTTTATGGGAGAAATTTTAAAAAGGTTTAGGAGGAAAAATAGAGAAATAGAAGAGGAAAGGATTAGAAGCAAGGTTGGAAGATGAAGATTACATGAACTTTGAGAAAGTGATGAAGAAGATAGAAGGGAAAGAGATAAGGAAGAAATGCAAACAAGAACAGAACAATAACAACATGCTGGGGAGATAGCTCAGTGGATAGAGCCCTTGCCTAGCAAGCATAAGGCTCTAGGTTCAATACCTAGTACCACCAAAAAATAAATAAATAGGGGTTTTTAAAAAAAGAGCCAGGCATGGTAGGGCATGCCTACAATCCCAGCACTTGGGAGGCTGAGGCAGGAGGATCATTGCAAGTTCAAGGCTAGCCTGGGCTACAAAGTTCGAGACCAGCCTGAACTGCATAGTGAGACCTTGTTTAAAAGGGGGCAAGGGAGATAGCTCAGTGGCAAAAGCGCTTGCCTTCCTGGCAAGGGTGAGGTTATTAGTTTGAAAACAACACTAAAAACAAGAAACAATGTTGACACTCAGATAAAAAGCAAGAACAAAAAAAGAGAAAACAAAAACAAAAATAAAGGAAGAAAGAAATAATGTCCACTTCAGGGCATGTCTCTGCTATCATTGGTAGACAGTGTGGGCAGACAGAGCCCAGATTCATGTTGATTAATCCCAAGAAGTCAACTGTGGATTTAAGGCGGGTAGTGGATAATCTCAGCAAACCTGCACCTTTAGTTCTGCTGATGTTCGGGCTGGTTTCTGGCTATGAGGCTGGAATCCAATTTACCTAGTCTGCAACACACAGTGTGCCCTCCTGGAAGCCTGAACTTGGCTCCTTGATCTCCTGTGGACTTGAACTCAGTTCTACCTCACCCTGAAACTATAGCTGCTGGATGGAGCCAGCCTGCAGCTGCTTTGAGTTCTGAGGTCAGTTGGTCTCTCTCCAACATGGCTGCTGGACAACTGCCCTCTCCTGGGAGAACCCAAATAACTCACCAGTCACTGCAGTCCTCTGTGTCCACTGCTCAGTTCCACTGGTGTGTTTCTCCATGGAGGCCTCTGAGGTCAGCAGTAGTCACCATGGGTCTGCAGGTTTGAGCTGCTCCTTCCACACAATGAGTCAGGGCTCAGGTAAAACTGCCACTTGCCATCTCCTTTGCTGCTTTGAGGTTTCCCTCTTCACTCTCCCTGTGGACTTCAGTTACCACTTCAGATCCTTGCTGGGTCCTGGGGACCCACTTGCTCCTTCTTCTCTTCTTCACATTGCTATATTTCACTGTCTGGATAGCAAGTCTCGGAAACCCTGTTTCTAAGATATTCAGCATCCCCCACCATATTCCCAGAAGTTTTCTAATGCAGGACCTCTTGAAGTTCATTGCAATGTGTTACATTTTCCATACAGAAGCAATCAGAGCTGGAAAAGAGATAAAAGCAGAACAAGGAGAGAGAGAGAGAGAGGGGGGGGGGAGTGCCTTAAATCTAGGAAGATATATAAATCCTGCAGATTATTCAACTTCTCTCATCAAATGGGATGTCATTAAACCTAATAACCACCAGATCAAAACCATAGGAGCTCAATCCATGTCTTTCATGGTGATTTTTTGGCTCCCTTCTGATAATTCTGGATTGTGTTTAGCATTTGAGAAATAAATATTACACAACTGGTCCATAAGGGTACTCTAAGGTGACTACTACTCCTAGTGTGCAGATCACGAAAATGAAACCCAGAGCCTGGCTTTCCCAAGGGCACACTACTGCTCGGTACCAGATGAATATTTTGAGCATGCTGGCTCTATCTGATTCTAAAATTCATACTCTTTCTGCAACAGAACACAGCCTGTTTACCAATATGGATTTATGGGAAAATGAACTTTTGTCAAAAGCAGTCTTGGTCGCCTCTCTTTTGTCTCATATACCTAATAACAAATACATCTTTTTGCCTAAATCATAGCATTATAATCCTCTAATTTTCTGTTGGGAATTTGGACACACAGAAACGTCAAGGGACATTTTCAAGTCCCATAGGAAGAGAGCTCTGATTCTTCTTCGTCTATTCAATCCATGTTGCAAACAGCACACAAAGTTCCAGTTATTCTGGATTAAGTAAAGAAAATTAAGCCATCAATTTAGTCAAAAACTCTAGGATCAAATATATACAAACAAAAATTAAAACGTCTATTTCTTTTAACATCCTCCAAATGGACTGGTGACTTTCTATATTTGTCTCCAAACTTAGATTTAAAGAACAATCACCTACTTTGCGTTTGGTGGCACATGCCTATAATCCCAGCACTCTGGGAGGCTGAGGCAGGAGGACTGCAAGTTTGAGCTCAGCCTGGGCAGCTTAGCAATTTAGCAAAAACTTGTCTCAAATTCAAAAATGGTTGGGGAATGTACCTCAGGGTGATGTTCCAGGGTTCAATTCTCAGTACTGAAATAATAAACATCACCTATTATTCTAAGTAGGGAGTTCTTCTATATACATATTTTTAAGTAGCTCCAAAGTGAAAATTTAGAACTATTGATCGTCAAGAAGAGACAGAAATTGCATAAATTATCTATTGCTTTCTAGTAAATTAGTACAAAATTTGTTTACTCATCTGTAATCCCAGCTACTTGGGAGGTTAGTTTAGGATGATTGCAAATTCATAAACTTGAGGCAACCTGGGCAATTTAGTGAGAAACTGTCTTAAATAAATAAAAAGGGCTGGGGATGAAGCTCAGTGGTGGAGCACTTGCCTTGCCTGCATGAACTCTGGGTCTGATCTTCAATACTGAAAAGAAAAACTTACCAGCTTTATACAAGAATCATTTATTACCTCCTAGTTTCTATGTATCAGAAATCCAGGTACAGAGCTGGGTGGTTTGCCCCGTAATCCCAGCATTGGGAGGATGAGTCAGGCAGCTTGTGGCGAGTTCACAGCAAACCTGGACTACACAGTGTGTTCAAGGCCAGCCTGAACTGCATAGCAACACCCTGTCTCAAAAAGACCAAAATAAAAAAATAAATAAATAAATAAAAAATCAAAGCAAGTCACTAGGATTGGTCTATTTTTAGGGAGCAGGGTTCATACAAGGGTGAGTTTAGCAGGAGGTAGAGCTCATTGGGATCACTTTAAGGCTATCACAAGAGATGTAAATAAAAAATTATAAATCAAGGAAGTAGGACTTTCTTTTTTTTTTTTGTTTTTTTTTTTTTTTTCTGGTACCGGGAATTGAACTCACGACTTTGCGCTTGCCAGGCAAGTGCTGTGCTGCTGAGCTAAATCCCCAGCCCCTAAATCAAGGAAGTAATATATTTGCTGGCTCTATTTCAATTCAAAGACATTCTAGTGGCAATGAGCATACTTAGTGCCTAGATCTTGGTGTCTAAATACTATTCCATTTCTCCTTGGGGAAATGACTGATTCAAGGAACAGTAAATATATAAGATGAGCTTGGAGCATCTTGAAGTTCTAGAAAGGAGATTATTATTATTATTTTTTCTTTGTGTGATAGGGTCTCACTATGCAGTTCAGGCTGGGCTTGAGCTCACTTTGTAGCCCAGACTGGCCTCAAATTCGCAACGATCCTCCTGCCTCAGCCTCCCAAGTGCTGGGATTACAGGTGTGTGCCACTACGCCCAGCTAGAAAAGAGATTAAACAAACAAACAAACAAACAAACAGAAAAAGAGACACATAAGCCAATATAAGAGCTGCCAGTAGTCAAAGCTGGAACAATCTGAGCAACAAAATAAAAATCATGGTATAAATTAAGACAAAGCCTGAAATAAATATACAGAAGTCTATACAAATGATTGAACATAAATGAATGGAATGAATCATAGTGTACCACTTGGCTAGGAGAATTTCTAGACATCATTCCACCATCTTGAGACCCAACAATAACCTATCACTTTTTCCTTAAAGAACAATTCCAATTCATGTATGCAGATATTTCTATCTAGGACTTGAAGTTTAATATTATACTCTCCTAGGGGCCGGGGTTATAGCTCAGGGGTACAGTGACTGCCTATCAAGCACAAGGCCCTGAGTTTGATTCCTGGTACCAAATCTCTCCCTCTCTCTCCATATATATACATACATACATATAATTCCTCTAGAGACTGGGAAGAATTTAGTAACTTGTTCTCCAAGAAGAGATTTCGAAAGGAGGAAAAAATGTAATTTTTCAGTGGAGAAACTCGTAAACAGTACCATGGTCAAATGATCAAGGTTAAATCACTAGTAATAAATTATGCTGGTATCATAAGAAAGGCATCTCATTGTGTATTCTCCTCAAACCTTACAGCATAGTTTAATTTTATGAGAAAAACATCAGACAAATTCAAGTCATGGGATATTTTACCCAATACCTAACCCAGATGGACTTCAAACTGTCATGGTCACATCAAGGTCATGAAAATAAGAAATGGCTAAGATAAACTGTTGCAGACCAGAGACTAATGAGATATGATGACTGAATGCAACACGGCATCTTGGATTGGGTCCTAGAACAGAAAACAGGAGGTAGTTACAAATCACATAAAGTCTAGAGTATAATCAATCATAATCTACCAATGCTGGTTGCTTGGTTTTGTAGACATATCACAGTAATGGAAGATGTTAGCTTTAGGGATGTCTTAGTTACTTTTCTCATCACTGAGACAAAATACCTAAAACCCAGAAGTTAAAGGAAGAAAGGTTTATTTAGCTCACAGTTTGTAGAGGTTTCAGTACATAATTGGCTGTCTCTAAAGCAGGATGACTTGGCAGAGAGGTATCACAGGAGAGAAATAGCTCCTGGTAGGCAGAAGGTAACAAAACAAGTAAAGGCCGACCACAGCTCTTTCTATCCCTTATATCTTATCCAGGCAACTCAGAATGGGTGGCGCTCACACCCTTAATCCTAGTGCCTTTGAGCATAGCATTGCACTATGAATCAATTCCAGCATCACACACTCTAGATCCAGCCACCTCTGAAAAAGCCCCACGTATGACTGCATGAGACTTTGAGGGGAAGGATCTAGACACAGCCATAACGAGGGGAAACTGGGCAAGGGGTATGCAGGAATTTTCTGTGCCCTCTTGCAACTATTCTGTAAATCTAAAATTATTCTAAAGTAAACTTTATTAAAAACACAAAGCAAAGCATCTTGTTACAATTTTATTAATTATTATTATTATTATTATTATTTTGGGTTTTTGAGACAGGGTATCACTCTGTAGTTCAGGCTGGCCTTGAACTCATTATGTAACCCAGGCTGACCTCAAACTTGCAGTCATTCTCCTGCCCCAGTCTCGCGAGTGCTGGGGTTACAGGCATTAGCCACCACACCTGGCTCTTGCTACAATTTTAAAAAGTGTGGTGACTGAATGATTTCTCCCTGGATTAGCTTTAGACTCAGCACCTACAAAACCCGCTTTGTCCTCCATTAGCCACATACTTCTAGCACCAGGTGCCAGAAGAAACGTTAATAGGCCCTTTGTGTCGCAGCATTAAAGCAGCGTGCCACTTGGCTAGGAGAATTCCTAGAAGTCATTCTACCATCTGGAGACCCAACAATGACCTATCACAAAGCAGCCCAAGGTCAGTTTTATTTTTTCTTACCCAGATCTCAAAGATGTCCAGGGCCACTCCAGGGAATCTAGGGCAAAGTGAAACGTGAAAGAAAAGTTGGAAATGAAAAGACCATTCTTTGGTTTCCTTTGGAGGGTTGCTTTCAGACATTTTCCTGATAAAACATAGAATATAACATCTGACCATGTGAACTCAGAGGTCAGGTCTACCCTTGGGCCTTGGAAAGGGCTGATGCAAGTTTCAGGCCCTAAAGCACAAGTATTAGTTCAGCCATCAATTCACCCTAACATATCTCAGAACAGCAAACAAGTGACCTTTGCCAGAATGGCAACTGCCTATTGTCTCCAGCCATTCAACTCAGAGGCTTTCGATCTTTCAGGAAGCTCAAACCAGGTACTCACTCCCGCCTAAAGTGTTCCCTGAGCCAATCTACAGGCTTGGATATATCTCCTAGGCCCATCCCTAGTTCCTTTATGACACTTGATCCCACAGGTTAAATTTGGGTTTCTCTCTTCCTCTTACCCTGTAGGCTCACTCAGCATGTGAGCCTTGCTACATTGCAGAAGAGCCCTCAAAACTTAAAAAAAAAAAAATCTTTGTGCTGTCATAGTAGGCCCGCAAGAAGCCCTTGTTGAGTAAATGAATTAAAGCTCTTTGTGAAGGTGGGAAACCCTGGCCAGGAAAAGCCTGGCTGGCCAGGGCAAGAACATCAAGCCCCAGGGCCAGTCTGTTCAACAACCTCTAGGAAAAACTGCAATGGGAGGTAAGAGAGACTGCCAATCAGTATAATTCCTGAAAGGTCAAAAAGAATATCGAGGCAGGCAGAGAGGAACATGTGTGTAATTCCAGCTTCTCCAGAAGTGGGAGGATCAAGCCTGGGCAACATAGCTACAGTAATCACCAAAAACAAACAGAAAAAGAAATATTGATGGCGCTTACCTCCTACCTATTAATACTGCATCACTCCTACACACATTACCATGCTGAATACAGCTAACTGTACATGAAATGCGCATATTTTTACAAGATTATTTGATAGACTATCCTATTCAAATATTTAAAAAATTACATGCCCCAATGAATCAGACTAAATGAATGCTGGAAATAGAGACAGGAAAATAAGGCTTTTTTTCTTAAATAGTAACCTTTATTTAGAACGACATCCAAAGAAGTCAGCAGAGCAGTCACAGCTCACTCCCCCATCCTATGTGGTTTTAATTCTATGCAGTGTTAAGAATGTTTAAACTTTTTTTTTAAAAAATGTAAGCATGGTTGAAACCGAAGTCATTCTTAATACTGTCAATTCTTGAGATCTTAAATATTGCTCTCAGAATGTCATTTCCATCTTTTTCAAAATTCCATACATTGGAAATAGAGAAAGGAGGGAAGAATAAGTAAACACCCTAAGCTGGGCGTGGTGGACACTTGTAATCCCAGCACTGGAGAGGCTGAGACAGGTGAATTCGAGGCCAACCTGGGCTACAAAGTGAGTTCAAGACCAGCCTGAACTGCAGAGTGAGACCCTGTCTCAAAAAGATCAAAAGAAAAGGAAAAGAAAAACACCCTGCGTATTTGTCTTGGAGTTGAAAACAGTTCTTACGGAAAGTAGTTTTCATCCACCCTGAGCAACCTTGTCTCCTATCTACTCCCTCTAAACAGAAGCCGACCCCGGATGTGAGGTCTGCATAGGGAAGATCTGCCTAGTGAACACCAGTAGCCACAGCTTGTGATGAAAACGGCTCAACATATCTTCTTTCACACGCTCGAAGCCACACACACACACACACACCAAGAGCATAAAGTTTACACGGGAAAGTGAGTCCCAGGGCGGAGTAACCAGGACAAACCAGAGCCCGCACGCAAGCACACGCCCCTTTGGGCGGCACGCATGCGCACAACGACAGCGAAAGGCGGCCTCGGGAGCTCCGCACGGTCTCTACGCCTTCCGCCGGCGTTTTCCCTGAGCCCGCCTCCGAGCCGGAGCAGACAGCTAATTGGTCAGTGTGGTCCCGGCTCAGGGCGGGGATTGGCTGATTGGCGGCAACGTCCCGGGACAGCCAATCTGGAAACCCGAGTCGCTGGAGAAGCTGCTGGCTGCCGCGCGGCGGTGGTAAGTGGGGCTGCCGGCTGGGAAAAGTTGGGGAGGAGAGTGGTCCCGGGCCGGACTGTGGCGGGGCGCCGTGGTAACGGGGCAGCAGCCCAAGGATCCCGGTGGGGAGTGCGGGAAGGGCGGCGGGCTCCGCGTGCCAGAGGGGCGTTGGCGGCGGTCGCAGGGAGCCGGGCGGCGAGGGCCCTGGGCAGCCGGGAGCCTCGGGCCTG